GGGGGGGGGGGGGGGAGAGACCCTCGTAGGGTCGTGTTCCTTCAACAGTTTGACTGTAGCCATCTGTTGGAGATGCGGTACATGGTTATGCTTCTTGTGCCGTGAACTACAGCAACGGACATCAAAAATTTCAGCCATAGCTTCTGTCAGGGAGCATTCCCGACAGAACCCTTCTTGCAGGCCTTAGAAGTAGGGTCCCTTAAGTGGGTTACGATTGGTGGAGTCGTTTATAAACGAAGGAGCCTATGATTGATGTCCTCAATATGCGTTGGACTACTAGGGAAGCCGAAGGGTATGTTTCAAGGGCGAGAAGTCGGGGATGACTGCCATTCTCGTCATCTGATTGGCTTCTATGAGGGCGTGATACCCTCTTCACGACCATCGACGGCATAGATAGCTTGACAAGGTACAACAAAGTATCCACGCGACAGGATACAGTGTGCTGGTCGTGCGAGTTCTTTTCCGCGAGCAACTGCGAGGTGTCGGTCTATGACGGCGTCAGTAATCTGAAGTGCCAAACTTGGGGTGGTGATGCCATCTGGTCCTTCAAATGTGTATGTCGATTGCCACCTTTTCTCTTTTCCTTTGTGTTCTTGGTTCCCCGAGTAGTGAGCTTGCTAGTGACATTTGTATAGGGCCCGAGCAAGACAATCGGCTGTTAGTTGCGGGTTGTTTGGTCGATGATGGTATGAAATTGGGTATGTTGAATATGCTGGCTTGATACGATATGCATAAGAATTATTTAAGATGGGTTGTACATAACTAGACTTTGGTCCAATATGTTCCACTCATTTATTCTGAACTGATGTGTGATTTACGTATATGGCACTTCTTTATTCATCCTTTCATGATCTGTGTATAAATCTAGGATTCGAGGTCGTAATTGCTGGTTCCTATGGAGGCTTACAATTCTAATGTTGAATCGCCACGTTAAGCAGCTCATCCTGTTTTCATGCTTAGAAACCGGTAAACCTATGTACTTCAACAATATCCATTCAGCCTGTATTATATTTTTCTTATTCTGCTTGAGAACGGCTTTACACTTTGTTCTATTTCTCTTTTAATGCCCAGTTTACTGAGGTGCAGACTTTACATACTATAACCCCATTTCCCAACTCATCCTTCAAACCATATCGTACCCATTATCAGTAGTGCCTCGGCGATTATCATACAGTACAAGGACATGGATACCTAGCTATGCTTTATTAATATGTATTGAGTTATCTGCAGTGTCGTATCTTCGTATCTTTTCAAGGGTGAGCTACCCGGGACAGCTTAAATCAATATTAGTCTAATGTTTCCTAAGGACTTGATTATATATTCTGAGCTGGGGAGGGTATATTACACAGAGAGAAAAGAAAGCCAGTTGGTAGTAATAGTAACGGTGATAGAAAAGAATTAAAAGGTATTTTATGATTTGGGATTCCAGTCTGATACTGGCAACACCTCAATAGAGTTTCACAGAACACGAACCCAACCACATCAGTTGGATTACGAAGCATCTCCAACTTGGAGACACTTGATAAACTCCGTGGGGAACTCGAAGCGACCTCCGGATAACTATGAAGAACCACTGTGAATTATGTAATTGGAACCACAGATCGTCATCAGTGCTGTGGGCCGGAAAGGCCACGGCAGCCAAGCATTGCACCGAAAAGCTTGGGCGAAAGCTTCTGCACTGGGGCCGTGGCCGAAGTATGGGGAGTCCGAAACCGGTCGGCAGATACAGCATGCCGTCTTATTGGAGATCTCCAGTGGGGATATGCCTTGGAATCCATTCATCTTCAAACTCACGTCACGGCCCATTTTACTAATACACGCACCCAAACTTGATGTCTACCGGTTCCTTCCCTAAGTTTTCCTCCGCAAGCAACCCCTTCGCATTTTCTTCTGCGTTCCTGAGATATGACGTCCATAGAGGAAAGCCATATTGGCCCTGGCGCATCCCTGGAGAAGAAACACTCGGGTTTGTACGGTAAGGGTCGGCCTCTGATGGTGACGGAAGAGGAGGCATTCGCGCGAGCAAGAAATAGCCCGGAAGAGGCATTGCCACTGTGTATAACCTTTTCTCACAACGATCGCGAAAACCCACGATGTTGGCCAAAATGGCGGAAATGGTATATCACTATCATGGTGAGCATGCTCAATGTTATCACGTACGTTTTGAACATCCAGACTCAGCCCCTGTAGATTACTCATAATTCATTAGAACGTGGTGCGCAGGTAGCATATCGTCCGGCGCGCCCGCTATCCAGTCGGAGTTTGGGGTATCCGGAGAAGTCACTACATTATGCCTATCGCTCTATGTTCTGGGTTATGCTGTCGGTCCCATCCTCCTTGCCCCTCTATCCGAATACTTTGGCCGCCAACCTGTGTATGTTGTATCGTGGTTCCTCCTATTTATCTTTCAGCTTCCGATTGCGCTCGCACCCAATATTGGGACGATTATCGTTTGCCGGTTTATCGCCGGTTTTGCTGGCGGCGCCCCGTTGACCAACACTGGCGGATCAATCAGTGACCTATGGGAGAGAAACACCAGTGGCGGACCAATGGCTATCTACGGCCTGAGCAGTACCTTCGGGCCACCTATGGCACTCGTGGTCAGCGGGTATATGGCCCTTGATCTCGGTTGGCGGTGGATCTTCTGGATCATGATGGCCATTACCGGCGGATGGTGGGTTCTACTTGTTCTCACAGTACCCGAGACGCGACACACGATCATTCTGCAGCGGAAAACTCAAAGAGTCCGGAAATTGATGCAGAAAGAGAACTTGAAATCCGCTGAGACCATCACCGATGCCAGTGCGAGCGGGCGAAAGGGGCTGGACGAGCTGTTTAAGATTACCCTCTCTCGTCCATTTCGCTTCCTATTCACTGAACCTATTACAACATTCTCGGCGATTTACAATGGCTTTCTCTACGGTCTGGTCTATCTATTTAACGAGGCCTTCCCGCTTGTGTTCGGTCCTGGGAAGGGCCACGGCTTCAACGTCGGCCAGCAAGGCCTCACCTTCCTCGGCATGGCCATCGGCCCGATCATCGCATTCTGCTTCTATCCCCTCCAAGAACGATACTATCTGCGTCGGGTCAAAGAGAACGACGGCAAGGGTGTCCCAGAAGCGCGCATGTGGATGGCCCGACTGGGTGCGATATTCATTCCGATTAGCCTTTTCTGGTTTGGATGGACAAGCTACCAGTCGGTCCACTGGATCGTGCCCATCATTGCCTCGGCCTTCTTTGGAGCTGGGATCTACATTGTCATATTGAGTATCCTCAACTATGTCGTCGATAGCTATCAGACCTATTCCGCGTCGGCTTTGGCGGGCGTGATCCTGGTCAGGAATTTAGTTGGCGCTGGGTTTCCTCTCTTCGCAACGCAGATGTACGAACGCCTGGGCTATGAGTGGGCGTCCAGCTTGCTGGGCTTTTTGGCCATCTTGTTGGTTCCGATTCCTTTCATCTTCTTCTACATGGGGCGTGCTATCCGGTTGAGGAGTCCGTGGGCGAGGGAGCATTTTGAACAAAATGAGGATACTCCTCACTAGCTCTGTGGGAGATAAATCATAGAAAGTCGGTTACATAGATTAGTATCTTAGAAGGTTTAGTCGCAAAAGTACCCTTGTTACGTGAGACTGTTTCATGCGAGTGGTTACAAGACGGCGTGAGTAGAATACGCAAGGAATTCATGTCTGCTATTACCCTTGAAGTCGTATGTTTGGGCATGGGTATGTTGGTTACCGAACTGATGCAGTCTTCTCGTGATACTCCTTATCTGCTATTGCTCGGTTGGCCGTCCGCTTGTTCTACCATGCATGATACTATCAATTTAAGATAGACAATCCGAGAGCGGTTATGACCTATATGTATATTTAAATCGTCTTGCGCAAAACGCCAGTGTCAGCCACAAAGTGCCAGCCCTCTGTTTGGTAACTCCTGAGTTTTGCTTCGTATCTCCCAGCCCTTCAATAGTGGCTGTTAAAGACCGACTTACCGTGTCTCCCGAGGTGCTCAGCCCATCGGACCCCAGAGGCTCTGGGAATATCGGGCTTCCCCTGTAGATGAATAGCAGTCCACCAGTTAATAGGACCATCGTAATTTGGACCCATGGGAAATATCACGTAATCCTAGATCCCCATAATACAAACACGAGATTCACGGAGGAGGGTTTGGCAGTGGTGTAACATATTGAATAACCGATCCCTGATATCGGAACGGAGATAACCAGTCCAGATAAAGATACTATTGGCTATACGCATGTAAGCCAACCCTCCCTATGGGATGAACTATTATTATTAACAAATAAAATGCGTTCCCTTTACCCTGTGTTACAGCCTGGACCAGTCAATTGCATTAACTGTATCTCTAGTATGCAGGCGGCCCCTTGCATAGTGATTAAAGTGAGGATAATATAGCAAACATGCGACTTCAAAGCGGACTGGATGTAACCTTGGCACTACCCCGTTGTCAGGTTACCCACATAATACAGTGGGAGCTATAAGAAAAGCATATGGATGGGTCAATATATACTATTGCGAGTGACAGTGACAATACCTCAACGTCAGCATCTACAACATGCTCAGTACGCTAGAAGATCATGTGCTCAGCCTCCACCGTGAACCTTGTAACAGGGTAAGCAAGGGTCGTGTTTGCCTTTGGCGCCTCGTATATATACCAGAAAGGCAAACAGAGGCGAATACTACATTCTAGACTCCAGAAACAGGGTGTGGAGCTTTCCCCGATTCCAAGATAAAATTAGGGTTTGAAACAACCACTACGCCTTATACTTCTAGATAGCCGCAGCAAGACACTTACCCATACTAAGTTTCAGATAGTATTCTGGCCGTCGCACAACTTCAGCAACCAATCTCCCGAGATTACAGATACATCCGAGTCTTAGGAAGAGGAGTTTAGTCATGACTTGGAATAAAGTCACTCGGATCCTGCAGCCAGCCTATACCTTCCCCTTTACTATTGTTTCTATTGGTAGTATTGTCAGTACTTATTCTTAAAAACACGGGTCTTTGTATAAGCCATTTGTCGGCTGACTAGGACCACCCTGCTTAAAGGCTTAATATGTATCCAGTAAAAGGCGATATTGCCCGAGATGCCCTGTACAGAATGTTGACTCGGACGGAGTCTAGAACGGACTTGAAGATATATATTTCCCTGGTACTCCCCGGGAGAAAATGGAAGTAGCATCGTACTATCAAAGAAATACACTCAGTTTCGACGCGCCATAAATTGAGAGTCTTTGCTGCCATATACATAGCAGTCAAAATAGAAAAATCAGTCATTGGCCTCCCGTCCGGATATATAATCTATCTCCCCTAATAATTTCAATACATCGTTTACAACCGAGAGTGCCTAGGTCAAGCTAGAGTGATGTCGCTCATCAACTTGCTCACTATTCTGGCCATCGCCTGCCTTACCTCAACCACTGCAGGATCATGTACCAAAGGAAGGGCGACTACCAGAAAGGAATGGTATGCTCCAGTACTGTCCTCCAGATATTCCCATTTCCAATATATGACAGGAGAGAACTAGACAAGACTGAACGGATAGAGTATATCAACGCGATATATTGCCTGCGCGAACGTCCGTCCTATTTACCTAATGAAGAGTTTCCCGGAGTTCGAGACCGATTAGATGATTTTGTTGCGTAAGCAGGCCTTGATAGACCCATTAGTTACTATAGCTGATACCTGCAGGACTCACATCAACTACACAACCCGGATTCACCAGAACGGTCTTCTGCTCCCTTGGCATCGCCACTTCATCTTCCTTTGGGAAGCAACTCTGCGTGAGGAATGTGGATACACAGGCAGTCTACCGTAAGTTATCTAGACAACTGTCACGACTATAATTCTCACTAAACCACGCAGGTATTGGAACTGGGCCCTAGATGCATACACCTTGTTTGATAGTCCCACGCTCAATGGCAACCCGACATCACTCTCCGGGAATGGAGCGTTTAAAGAAGACGAGGTACCCTCATGCAATTCCCAAAATACCGAGTGTCTCCCCCGAGGCACAGGGAATGGATGTGTGGTGTCAGGCCCATTCGCCAACTTCCAGGTGCATATGGCGCCGATTAACGCAAGTTTAGCACAGTCATATGCCCGCCCCCCTTCCTATGCCTTCGATTATAAACCGCACTGCTTAACACGGAGTTTAAACCCATTCATTATGGCCGTGTTCAACAATGACACCATTGGAGATCGAATGCTCCAAGCCAGAAATATTACCGAATTTCTCAGACTCATGGAGCCTAGTGGTTTTGATGACATGGGTGCGCATGGTGGCGGTCACCACTCTATCGGAGGGGATATGCAGAACTTATTTATATCGCCCCAGGACCCCATGTTCATGCTGCATCATGCTATGATCGATCGCATCTGGGGTATATGGCAGCAACGGGATCCCACGAATCGCCGACATGCCTTGAATGGCACGACGATCATGTACGACCCCCCGGATGCTCCGCTGGTGACTCTCGATACAGTTATGGAGTTTGGGGTGCTGGGTAGTACAAGGAAGGTTGGGGAAGTGATGGATCCCGAGGACTATGAGTATTGCTACGTTTATACTTGACACAGCCTGGTCTACGCTTTGGGTGTGCTGGGTATGATATGGTTCATATTTGATTCCCGAGGCACTCTGAACATCCTAGGGACCTGTTCCGAATGGAGTGTAGCATTTGAGTGATGATATCTCAATCAATTTATTGATGCTGTATGGAATATGTCACTTGGTCATCAAAATATAGATGTTGGCAGCGGTCATTGCCGCGTAAGACTCGATAGCAGCGGTGCCTCAACATCCTCTGTGTATTGTAAATTTATAGGATTACGCTTCATAGCATAGCGATGAGCAAGACTGTCGCTGTGTTCTAGTTGCGACCGAGCAATCTTGCCTGCCTCTCTAGGAAGAGGATCATGGGTCTATCCTGCTCAGAACTCAATTGCTTTCCTACAACTGACGACTCAAATTCTAAAGGCCCCTCGTTCATTGTCCAATGTTTCGTGTTCTCGATTGGTGTATGCTCATACCATGAGTGCAGCTGATATGACCTTCGCAGTATCTGTATCATCATGACCTCAACGGAGCACCAAGCACGACTGTGGTAGCTGCTATCGAGCAAGCTAATTACCGCATCACATTGTGCAAGGTTGAGAGGGAGTGCAGCAATCCCAGGCAAAGGGTTATCCTGGTCGATGCAGGCCCAATCCTGCATATAGATAAGTATATATCATCTCTTCAGGAGGGTTGATTTCGGGGCTTACCAGCCAAATACCTAACTTCTGTGCGTTTATGGATTCGTGGGCCTCCAAGAATGTCTCGATCGCTCTGATCATTCGGTGATACTGGGTGTGATTGGCATCGTCCGGTGATGCTACCCACGCTTGATCACCACTAATCCAGCGATATGATATGAAGACTATATAATCTGGCGCACATTCCGGTTCCATATTGCGATAGTTCTGCGTCAGACCGTGATTCGATCTTGGAAGCTGTCCATTACGCACAAAGTCCCGGTACCATACAAATTTGAGTCCGTCAAATACCTTGATTTTCTCTTCGTCTGCCGCAAGTGACGCGGCATACACGCGTCGTAGATGCTGCAGTTGGCCTACATCATTCCTACTTTCTAGCAGAACAGGCCGCAGAGCTTCCTGGAACACCTCCCGATAACACTTTCGCACTCGTGCCTCTCTTTGCCGCTGGGAGAGCTGGCCGTGCGCTTTCTCACGGAACTGTCGACGGAGCCCTTCAAGAACAACTCCCTCAGTCTCCTTATCGCCGCAAAAAACAGCGTAATCCAATGCACTATAGCCGTGCTCATCAATGAGATCCATGTCGGCGCCAGCCTCGACCAGCTCTTTTAAGTATCCCAAATGCTCATTTGAGGGCTCTTTGCACAATGCCATAGCCGGAGTACATGTCCCAATTGGGTTGAACTGCAGTAAAGCTTCCTCACGTTGTCCGTTCAGGTACAAAGCGCGCCCATAGAAAAGCCGGGACATTGCAACTACTGTAGGATCTTTTGTGCGGAGGGCAACTCTCAAAGATTCCAAAGCCGTGGCAATCGCGTCGTTTGCAAAGCCACAGGCAGTGTAGCAGAGTGATAGTCGAGAAAGCCCAACCGTCTCCCAGACGATGGCCTGACTTTCCCCTCCTGATCCAACAGATGCCTTGATAGACCGAGCTAGACGAATACGTTCCTTCAGTTGGTCAATAGCCAGAGGCAGAAAATCGAGAGAGAGCTGGTAGTTCACCATGGCTAAATTCCCGAGAGAGCGGCACATGGCATTTTCTAGCTTTAGCTCCCCTGCCATGTTATACTGAGTCTCAAATTCCCGCTTCGCATCGTCGAGGCGATTCATATGGCGGTACACAACCCCCATCTCTCCAAGAAGCTCGACATGAAGAGGTGTGGAGCCGATCCCATTCATCGCGCTCTTCAGATACTCCTCTGCCTTATCGTATCGTCCAAATCGCCTATTCGTATATCCTAGCTTTCCCAGCGCCATATTCCTGTAGTTTCCTGACTCTGGCAGGCACCCTCCCGGGCTACAAAGACTGAGAGCATGGCTGAAGGACCGCAGGGCATGCTCCCACTCAGCGTGCTGCGCATGTTGTTCTCCTTGCTCCATCAACACTTCCCACGATCGCACCGCATCTACCATAGTCGCAAGCGCTGCTGGTGTGACACCACCTGGATCTCGCTGTTGAGTAGAGGATCCAAGCTCCTTGGGTCCCAAGACTGGTGCATCTTTTACAAAACCGCGCGATGCGTCAAAGAAGAAAAGGGTGGCGTGTAGAGTATCGGGCGCAACTTCCGTGCGATGGAAGGCAGCCGCCGGAATCGAGTAGCTCATGTTGCGCGTGTGCAGTTCTGAGCCAGTAGCCGTCACTCGCACCAGGTTGCCAGTGTTCTCAACAGTAGATGATATTTGATGAGTCTTATAAGATTTGTCCGTACTTTTCGCATCTTGCCAGATGAGCTTATATTCTGCATGGGTGGCTGCTGCATAGTCTGTCGTCGGGTGAACGTCGAATGAATGGTCCACTCCGGCACCAGCCAGGATCCAACTTTGTCCGAATGGCTGATGGGAATGAACGGCAAATTCTGGAACCCCTCGCTGCGTATCCGGTAGCCACACATGAAGCCGGAAAAGCTCCTCGATATTCCCGTTCCGAACTATGCTGCAGAGTGGAACGGACAGGAACCCTTGTGCGCTGCGGGACGCCCGGACATTAGAATTTCGAAATAGATCACTGAGAATCGCGCCTCGTATCATGTTCCACACAATGGTTAAATCCCCTTCCGAGACAGCTGGAAGGCCAGGATTGTCCGTGCTCCGGCCGCTTTCGCGAAGAAGAGCAATTGCAAGCACAAGGTATGCTAGGTTTCGTATCAGGGGCCCATTCTTATTATCATCACAAGAAATGTCCGAAACTTTAGCAAGCCAATCGCTGAGAGGAAGAGACTGGGTAGCATCATTGCCGATGCGACTGTTCACACCTTCGGCTACGGGGCCACCACAGGCAAAGCACTGAACGAGTTGCTCATAGCGGTTCTCGTGTAATAGTGTGGCCGCTGCGACTCCCTGCAGCACTCTCAGGAGCACCGAGCTCGTAACCTTGCAGCTTTCCATGGGTCAAGGTGGGTCGCTAAGGTTGAGTTGGGGAAGATAGGCTGAGAGTCTTGCAGTCAGGCAAGCGGACATCTGTTTGTGTGTAGAAATACGAACCCCGCATATGGCTTATGTCTCTCTTATTGATTGGTAGCTTTCATAATACCCGCTGGGCTATGTGAAGTATCGTGTTGATTGGCTGGGATGTTTGTAGATTAGCTTCATCTAGTTAAGCGGAGGGACTCCAATAGACCATTGGCACGAATCTCCTACGGTCTTATATCGAGTATTGTGGACCTGAACTATATTGCCGTCCATTCTTTCTATCCTCTTTGCCTTTGCATCTGCCACTACAGTATGAATTTCGAATGTCCTCTCCCTGACCTAGTCCTTTACTCAATTTAAATAATACCGAGATAGCCTCTTCTACCTTCTCTAGTTAATATAGCCTTACCCCAAGTCAAAACACCAGCTGTCCTCTTTTTCTGCTATAAAGTTCACCAATATCATTATGTGCCCTGCCTATGCGAATATCGTAGTGGGCTTCAATTGTATTAACCTTCAATGGCATAAGATGATCGCTACTCGGTATACTGTATATTGTAGCGGGCTCTGAGACCAGCCTCTAGCTCCTACCATGACGCAGAGAAATATTTCAGACATACTATTCAATTAGTCCATAACATACGAAGTTGGTTTGTCTAATGCTAAGTTATCAAAGCCCAATACCAGAGACCTGGACCTGACATCCGCGAATTAATTGACCCAGAAGCATTTCAACACCACGACATAAGACTTTCCCTGCATCGTGTAACCACCAGCCAACGATCATCGTGGGTGAAGAGCGGGTTTGGTGTGTGGTAATCTCTGGCTCTCAAGCCTTGCCTTGTCAATCTCCTCTAGCAAGATTTCCTGAGCGTCTGCGCCTGCATATTGACCGTCGAAAAGTTCTCCGCGGTTTTTTATGGTATACTCGACTGCAAATACACCTGGACTGTCTCTGTTATCTCTTCTTGTCAATATGGCTTTGCCTTGGTTCACAGCATCTTCGTACTCGCAGAACCGGTGTTCCACAGCTGGATCGAGTTCCACCTGAACAAACCAGAACTCCGGAATGTTGCGGAGGAATACCATTCCATGGGAGCTGGAATATCTTCTTGGAGAGTTGTTTGCCATGATAATTGATGGGTTAACTTTAGATTTCCTAGTTCTGGGAAAGCAAAAGGCAAGGAAAGAAGAGAGGGAATGAATGTCTCTCAATATCTCTGTAAAAGCCTTTCTATGTTAAATTTCATCATAGTAGCATCGAGGCAGGCTCAGTCGACATATTTATATTTGACAGTAATTACCTGTTGAAAGAACAGATGTTGCGATATACGACATTCCTTTGGTATCAGCAGCATTTAACTCAAATAATTGAGATATATTCCGGTAGTGGGCCTCAAGGGTTGCTCCCTATCTCATAGAATGTCTACTTATTACATTCCTCTACTACGGGTGCTAAGTATATTGTGTCTTTAAGATATGGAAACTTCCTGTTGGGCATTGTGTGTTCCGTTTTTGAATACCCTACAGCTTCTGTATATTCCCTGAGACAGTAGCAAACTGCGCAAAGAGCAAGCTCGATTGGACTTTGCCAAACTATATAAATCTATATTATTTGTTTCAAACCTTTCTGTGTCGGGTGTGACAGGCAAGAAGTGCATTGTCTACCTGGCTGTCCTTTCATTCATAACAAACAATAACCAATCTTGAAATAGAAAACTTCGGTATTCTCAGGATTCTGAGGCTATAAGTTTTTCATTGCTTCTAAGACCATGCATATTCCAAAGAAAGACCTCTGACTTTCACTGCTTGTAGTTCTACTTGGCTCTTTCAGCATGAATACAGCAAACACAGCATCATGACAAGAGGCAGGGGTGTTTTATACGTTCCTGAATCCCATCCTCATGCAGTTCATCTCCAATATCTCATCTGGGCCTTCCTCATACTACCCTAAACGTCCCTCATATAGACCTCTTCAAACCACCTACATCAGCCTACCAAGCAAATATCACTTCACAAAAATGAACCGATCAATAAACTATCCAGACCTAGTTATGTGGTTCGCAGAGGTCAAAGTTGACCCTGCCTTTACCAACAGACAAATGTTCCTGCAGCGATGTCGAACGGTAGCTGAGTTCGGATACGTAAAGCTCACGACGATATGTCGTTGCGATTACCTGCGTATCTACTCCGCTTTCGTCTTCTGTCTTCCTAGAGGTGTAGAGCCGGACAGAAATCATGCCAGGATTTTGTTACGCAGAGCTATTTTCGATGAGATGGGGTTGCCGTATACATATCCTGCGCTTGGGTGGCGTTAGTCTATTTTCTTACTTTCTTCGGCATGACTATCATAGTGTAAACGTAGGGCTATATATGATTCCATGAGCATGTTTAAGGATGGGATGTTTGATTTTATATTGGGAATATGACATGAACACTGCATTGGGTAACAGGCTCATGATAACTTCAGGATAAGCTTTTGGTTCTTCGTTATCATGACAGCAGACCGTAGTCGTCCCTCTGGAAGCGAATAGGTCTCTCTAGATCTATGCTGCTACAGAATACCTAATTATCATGCAGGACAATGCGGCTGTCTTTGTCTTCATCAAAGGCTTAGAGGGGACTGGCATTGGTGGAAATAGAATTACTAACAAGTCTACTGCGCTGCGACTGCACTATAGTTACGAGTCTATGGGCAAATTCTCTACAGCAATGTGGAAATTGTCCAGAGACGGGTGCTCGATCCCGGGTGAATAGCACCAGACCTCCAAGCTAGGAGGAAGAATGAAAAATAGGTTGTCGGCATTATGGACAGGTTCATAAGCCAATTAGTGGTGTTGATGTCGACTGTGAAGAGTCTATCCACTTCGTGAGGCTCAAAAGATCGGAGCATTGTGCAATTTGTAGGTTTACAATTCCCACTTTATCAAACAACCCCTAGCAATTCCTTTGGCCTTGTACTATGCGATATGGCATGCAGTACACCAACAGAGCCACTGATAATTAGTATGGTTTGGGATGGTTGAGGAAAAGACCCCGATCTCGAATGCTTTTAGCACTCTATTTATGTCTCGATTACTCTTCTGACAGACGTCTCCTGTGAATAGGAACGAAAACAGGATTCCCCTGAAAGCCACTAATTATGTGGGGCTAATTGGTTAGATAGCCTAAAACTGATGATAAATAAGAAATTTTGAGTTTCCTACATTTGAGTTTATCCGTGATTGCAATCCTCCGATATCAGAGAGGTTTATTGAAAATATATATCTGCGATAGTGCGTTTTCCGAGCATAATAACATGGATATATGGAAAAGGCATGTAGAGGAGCAAGATGTAAAATCTCAATATTGGATGACCTTTTTAAATAAAGTCCTCGATGTAATGCATTCATTGAGGTCTCTTGTCCTTTCGGGCCCTAATGTGGAGAGGCAAGCATTTGCTCTGCGAAGTCAGATCACAGTACCTCAGGCTATCTCTGCCCCACGATTACGTTTAAAACGATTTAATATTGTACAACACAGAGTATACTAAAGTTGGACAAATGTGAAGTTTAAGGGTCTTGAACTTCAGCAACGTCCGGGTCAATCCGCTCGGGCTAGAACAGGCCGTTGCCGTTTCAGGAAATCTGAACCCTGAATTTGGAAAATAGTTCGACAGTTTGAATGCATCAAGTCTAGACAGCACTCTTGAAAGCTGAATGTCACCTCGTAGAATTGTTTCAAAAGTTATAAAAAGAGGGTGTGTTGGTTTCAAGATCTCCGCCTTGATATCCCGAGAACCCGACTTAACCGAACCCGACTTGGCAATCACATGTACCGGGCCAATGATCTGCCAAACTACCAACGAACCTCAAACTTGATACGCAGGGAGGTTTGAGAACTACTTACTGAGTACAGTTCAGGAGACTATCATGCCATAGGCTAGGAGCTAAATAAGCCATCAGTCGAGGGATTTGGTGTGATTGGCTCATGGTCGCAAAGGCTACCCCAATTGATCCCCAAAGTCGTTTAGGGCTCCACATCAGATGCAACCCTACGGTTGCTATTTTTATAGTAACCAGCATAGTTTTTGTGGCCCCTTTACTGGTTACAGTATAGTATATCATCGCTCGAGTCTAGTGGGAACTCTCTAAGCTGCCTTGAAACGAGGTGGAGCAGTGAGTCGATCGCTAAAAAACTCTATCAGTAAGGAACTCTCACCAGGCCTTTCTAGAGGCGGTTGCTAGCTAGTGAGCCACAGCCGGAAAGGGGAATGAAGAAGCCACTCAATAGTGATAGTGGTTGTACTTGGAGAATTGTGTTAGAGGGTAAACCCAGAGGTCACAAGATAGTAGGCATGAGAGGGACATATCATTCTGAATATGGTAATAGATAGCCACACTCAAGCTCATATAGCTGTTGATAAGGCAAAGACAAACTACAGTTCCTCAGAAGTTTAATCAGGCTCCACTATAGCCCTGCAATTTATCAATAGATCGCTCGGGAACCCAGTCTCAGTTCCAAACAATGTCAGTGCATAGTCGTCCTCATGATTCGCTCTGTTCACTTCAGTTCATGAAACATGTGGAGTCACTGACGATCATCTGCCAGGTACCGTACTCGAGGCCAGGGTCTTCACTCCGATCCTTGGAACTCTACTACTGTCTGAAAATTCAATTGTTCAGGGTCTACACTATTTGTCGGCAGGCCCCCTAGCCATAACACGGATAGATGTTTGACAACACCTTCACATGGTTGCATTTGATGTGTCATTGACAAACTTTTGGACCAAATTGTGGATATTGGTGGACGACAGTAGGTTAAGAATAGGCAGGAACAGAGATAGGAGATGCGCGCATTTGAGATATTTAAGTCATCATGAGTCCTGTGCTAGTCAGTCTGAAGCAGCACGCAATCCGAAGCATTTTCTTCTCAAGCGCATCTTAACTATCGAAACTTAACTCTTAATCACTAATATCCAAGATGTTGTTCATCAAGGCCATCACTCTGACGGGACTCGCCGTGAGCCAGGTTGCAGCTCATGGTCTCATCACCCGTGTCAAAGGCCACAATGGCATTGACATGCCTGGACTGACGAGTAGGTTCTTACATGATAGCTGTATCATGTCGAAGAAGCTAATTTGTGTTTCTAGTTCAGGATGGAATACCCCGGGATTGCCCTTCTGCTGCATGCGGCGCCCAGAAAGACACTGCCATCATCCGCGATGCTGAGTTTGGGAGCGTCAAGGCTTCCCCCTTGGGTCGTACTCTTGGTGGAGGTCCCGTGAACCCTGCTATTGTTATCAACAACTTCGTGGGTGCTGGAAAGCAGAAGCGCTCTCGTCTTCCAGCCAGTCACAGACGTAAGATATTGCTATCTGTTCCGATATGATTAGGCTAACAGCGCCAAAGGTCGTCAGCTGATCAACGATGCTGCAAGCATTGTTACCAATGCTGGTGGTACTGTCCTCAATGGTATTAAATTTGACCCCAATATTGTTAGACATATATTAACATTTTATAGGTATCCAGGACCTTGCGGACGCGACACCCTTTGGTGGAACCATCAAGAGTAGGAGAGCCCTTTCACGGTCCAAAAACCCCCTGTTAACCAGAATAACTAGGTATCCAATCCACAATCGACGATGCCATGGCCATCCTTCCCGGAACCCAGTCCGGTACAGTGACTGGAAAAGGCGCCAAGGAGAACGGCATGCAGCTGTATTCTGGAAAAGGAGCCAGCACCGGCCTCCCTACTGCGTCTCCGGAAGGTGTAGTGACCATGATCTACCACCAGGTAAGCCGAAATAGTATGCCTGAAACATACCAAGGTTGACACATTGCTCCAGGTTAACCAGGATGGTGCGGGTCCTCTTTCTGCTGAAATCGACCCTTCCAGCGGAGGCACCGATGCAAAGGCCTTCAAGAGCGCCCGGGTCATTCAGAACATCCCCGGAGTTGCGGGCTTCTCTACCTCTAGCACCATGGACTATGCTGTCAAGGTCCAGGTCCCTCAGGGAATGAAGTGCACTGGAACCGTTGGAGCTGCTAAGAATGTCTGCATTTTGCGGGTACGCAATAATGCTATTTCCGGTCCATTCGGAGGCTCTGCTGCTTTTACGCAGTAGAACACTTGAGGAGTTGTATCCCTAATCAGTCGTATTGTGATTGTGTGATTGTCTCATAGCTTTGGTTCTTTATTTTCTCTTTACAGACCCCTTTACTAATCATTGCTCTTTGTTTGTAACACACAATCGTGTCTACTTAATCTTATACATAATACTATAGATAATGTATACTAGTGTGTATGGCGAAAAAGGAATTCTAGCCACGAGCCCATCTGGCACGCCATGGACAGAAGACTGCCAGTTTCGGTCATCAAACTACTCAGGTAAAATTAAGATTGTATTAAGCGGACGGTCATTAAACCTACTCAACGTTAAGATATGTCAGAATAGACTGCTATCTAATCAATGCATGTATATGTAAACGTATCATCATGGCAGCAGGGTCCCCATTCAGCTTATCACCTTCAGCTTTATCCCCATAAAATATTAAGCCTCTTCCACCCTTTGGCTTTCTTGATGGGTACATTTTCCGGATCATTCCGTGCTTCCTCTAGCGCTTGGTGAACCGGCACTTCAGTCAACGGAATTATCTTCGTCCCGCGAATATATTTGTACAGTCCATATGCACCTAGTACGAGTGGGATATCTCTGTGATCATGGTTAGCCCGTTTCTCTAATCCATGGAAATAGTCGCCCAGGAACACGTACAGATAGGACGACACGAAGGAGGCAGGATCCCAATTCCCGGCGGTAAAGACGGCAAATCCACCAGTGAATAGGATTAGTATACAGGCGATAAAGGCGAACCAAGAAGAAACGTCTAGAGAGTAGTACTCAGGTCAGTATCAGCTCAAGATGTTCAGATGAAACGGACATACATGTTATCCGATTGTGCCATGGTAATTCCGTTGCCGGTATCCCTTGTGCCTTTAATGCCTGCAACAAGCGAATATGGTTGAATGCGATCGCAATCCACGATACCAGCACACCAGCCGCGGTTAAATCGAGCAGCCAATAGAAGACGGTCAAGGCGCTATTTGAGACACACATGTAGGCCAGGAAAGAGACGGCCGTCTGGGCGGCAACGCACATATATGGTACGCCCCAGCTGGATGTTCTCAAGAAGATCTTGGGCGCATGGCCCTTGACGGCCAGACCGTAGAGTGTTCGGGTGCCTGCCAACATGCTTTGGTTGGAGGCTGACCATGCTGAAGTAATACAGATCGCATTGACAACTGAAGGTATCGCTTTAATACCGGCGTCGCTGGCAGCGATGACAAAGGGACTTTGTGCGGCGGTGCCAGAGTCATCTTGGAGTCTTGGGTCGGAGCTTGAGACCAGCATGCCCACGACTAACACAGCAGCTAGGTAGAATACAGTCACACGAGCAAACACTCTTCGACAAGCTTTGGGGATGTTGTGGCGCGGGTTTTTCGTCTCTGCTGCGGCCATCGCCAAGGACTCTACGCCTGAGAAGCTGTAGACAGCGTTTGTCATCACAGCCCAGAAACCGAGAAAGCGACCCCATGCGCCGCTGGCAATATACTCGACAAAGAGTCCTTCTTTCCAGTGATGAAATCCTAGTCGTGGCTTGCCAGGTATTCCGCCGAGATCGATGACGAGACCGAGAATCACGACGAAGACCACCAACAGGAGTTTCAACAGGGCAAAAAAAAACTCGATTTCACCATACACACGCACAAGCGTCATGGCGACGGTAGCAGACACCACGATAAGAATAGTCACCCACACCGCAGCATTGATGTCGGTCCAGTACTGGATCATCACCACAGCCGCAGAAATCTCGCTCGGCACGGCCAAGAAGGAGCCATACACAACGTTCCAACCGATCGCAAAAGCCAAGGCAGGGTCAACCAGTAGTTCTGCGTGTCGCACAAATGAACCGGTCACTGGCATCAATGCAGAGACCTCACCCAAGGCATATTGCACGCAGCATACAATCAGCCCGACGAAAATGTAGCCGAGCAGGGCACCAAGCGGCCCGCCTGTCGCAATGGAACCGCCGAGGCCTAGGAAAAGTCCCGTTCCCTAGGAACTCGAACGCGTCATTTAATAGATAATTTTGGATCATGTGGTATAGGTTCACATACAATGGCTCCCGCGATAGCGATCATCTGCACATGTCGTTGGGACAATCCGCGGAGCAGATTCTGGCGTTCCTCTTGGGAAACAATATACTGTTGTTGTGGTGATGGTGGCTCATTGTCGTCGATCGCTGGAGCATAACCTCCTGGCTGTCGATATGGCGATATCTCACGATCATCTTGCGTCGGGCCCTTGAAGGGCATTGCCATTGTGTTGCTAATTTATGGTTTTCCTTCCCTTTGGAGGTTCAGGAAAGGAATGTGTTTTGCTTATCAGCGCATCCCTTGGGGAATATTTTTCCGCCCTAGATAAGTAAGCACGCCATCCCACTGGTTGGTGAGGAATGCTTCCTGCATGTTAACTATGTGGGGTTTGGCTCTTTAGTCGGTGTATGAAGTAGTGGTTTAATATATTTCTGTGCTATACAGGGCCATATTATAGGGCATGAAAAAACAATCAATATTTGCGATTAGGGCAAAAACCATGTACGCACCACAGAATGAATTACCAACGTAAAGGAAGATATAAGACCTCGCTATCCTCACATATAACCGGAATGATTCCAATCTCTTCGTAGTCAATATCTTAAAAAGATTAATTAGATTTGAGAAAAGCAGACAGCCAGGCCAGCAATAAGTCTTGATTATTATTTCTTCCACGGAATACCTATCTAGTAGTAATAAAATCCTCAATGGCAATCATCTCAAATATCTCCCGACAAACGAAAAGTCGTCCCATTCGACCACCTGAAGATGTCCGGACAGCACAGGTGTCTCTATGGGATAATTAGTAGCGTATTCTCAGGTTGACATATACGTATATTTAGTGGCCCTAGAGAAGTCATCTATAACCAGCAAACTTCGGCTTTATCAAAAGTAACCATTCTCGCCATATTGACATATATTGATGCGGTTAAAGCTGACGTAGCCTCAGCCTCGGCGATCTTCTGCTTAAAGTTGCTCTTGACATCAGGAGAGAATAAACCGTGCCGGCGACCGCTACAAATCTCACATCATGAGGGAAACATTTATGCCGAGCCGAGATACCGAATAAAACATGCATTGTAGGCAGCACAGAGCTCACATTACCTATGCAACATACAAAGGCATTAGCTTTTGCACAAGGGGTAGCTATGAAATGAAGGCTCACCAATATCGGTTGAAGCACCTAGGGTTTGTGGTAGAAGTAATCCCAGTCCGGTCCGTACTCTCCCATATGGGTGACATGTCTGTCACCGAGGTGATCATTGTTTACGATTTTGGCACAGGGCTCCTCTCTGTGGTCCGGTCAGCTGCAGAGCTAATCCACTGAAGGTTTGATTGACAAACCTAAATTCAATGTGGACCTCCCAGCCAGTCACCAGTGCTCCAGTCTTTGCACAACTGACGACACGCTCCGGCAAACCCTTCAGGCCCTTGTAAGTAGGGCTTTAAACATTAAGGATTGACTTTTGTATTATCTGGAATGGTATTCGTTGCTTCAGACGTCTTCTTGAAAGAGCAATAGATTCTTTCAAAGACCTGAGCTCGCTGACAAAGCTGCGAAACACAAGGGGGTCTGGTCGACAAAAAGATGGATTCCAAAGAGAATGATCATGACAAATCCTCCCTGAAAGAGGATTTCAATGAAGGCATACCTCTGGGACCATTGGAGGTTTGCATCGTCGACTTGGAATTCGACACATTCAACTCGTCGGCATTAGCGGTTCTATTGACAGAGGCTTGTTCATTGCCATAGGAACAGCCCTTTATAAGAGGGGGGGGGGTCTAGCAGGTCTTCTCCTTGCCTTTATTGTTGAATGCCTAATGGTCAGCATGCCCAATAATTGCCCCGGTAAAATGTCCACCTACATGGCTGTACCTGGCAGCTTCATTGGCCTGGAGGCCAAATGGTGCCGGAGTCCTGTCCCCAGTTTATCAATTTCCAAACCATATATCACGCCATAAATATGCGTTTCCTCCAGCAACAGTGGTCTTATAGAAAGACTACGAAGGCATACCATGCTTTTGATGGAGGTGAAGACTTTCCACATCGGATTGGTCTCTCACGATGTGCGATGCCAGAGTTTTGAGAATGATGCCAACAGTGCGCTGGGAAAACCCGTATCGAAGGTCAAGGTCCTCTTACGATCGCACGGGTAACAGGGCGCGGACAACAGCTAACACCCAGACTCCTCATCGATTCACAAACATGATCAGGCTGGATATCGTGAGGGAGGGTGAGTATGTATCCCACTTGGCTGCAGTGCTGCAGCTAGCCGACTCCCATGGTGCGGAATGAGGTCAACGGCTTTCGGTCTTCGTAGGTAGGATTTCCACTGCATGTTGGTCCAATCCAGACCGAAGGTTGCACCAACGTGGCACATCCAATTCCCAAGAATGGGCTTTTCGTTGGGAGTCCCAATAACTGAGAAAGGGGCAGCGGCCAATCCGACCGTTTGAGAAAAATCTTGAAAGCTGCACAGCGACGATTCTATTACCGATATTCCAAGGCTTAACAGATGCGTCGGTGTTTGAGGAGTGTATTGAAGACCTTCTTCAACACAGTGGAAGATAGACAGGCCCTAGGTCTGTTCTGGTGATGAACCATGCTTTTTTCCATCCTTCTGAATATATAGGCTATGTTTAGATACGGGGAGATAACTTATGTAGTCATCTCCTTTTTCATCTGACTTGAGTGCTATTAATATATCTTTCTCCAGACACAGATTTCCTGGTTGGAGGCATGAGATATAGTATTAGGACAACCTACATAGGGCTTTAATAATTTCCTGGGGTAGTGTATTGACGGGGTTGGTGTAAGACAGCAAAGTACGAGGGGAGACTAGAAATATACAGGTAAAGTGTCTAGTACTTATGAGGACCAATGATTACTCAATCGCTGAATGGTCCAATTGGTTTGCATGAGTACTAACCGTTGTCTTGAGAACTATCTACAGGTCCCTGTTCAGAAGGTCAAAATCCAGGGTGTTTTTTCTTTGCGTGATTCGCTTCGTCAGAGCGTCGACTGTAGATAGTCGGGCTATTGTCACGAGAACTGGTTAGTATCCAAGCGACATTATAACCCATTGCAGCAGTGCCATCAATCATTAACACTGTGCTCTCCTAACGCTGAATAATGTGTGATAAGTCTGCCAAAGAGAATTCTTGATTATTCTTTTACTGTTTTGCGATCCGATGTTCTGACCTGGTCTGAAGGAAAATTAGTTACATAAATATGATCATGGGCTCAGACTCAGTCACGCAGGAAGCTCTCTTCGAATGGATAGTGAGTCAGTAGCTCATAGCCGGTCTCGGTCACGAGGAGTTGGTTCTCCAGCTTGATGCCATCCTTGCCGCCGACTTCACCGACATACGCCTCCACGGATAACACCATACCCGGTTGCAGCTCTCCTTCGTAGCCGTATGATTCCAAGTCTTCCGGGTAGCGAATGCTCGGGTACTCGTCGCACAAGCCGACACCATGGAACATCACGGCATAGCGCTGAGCGCGGCAACTTTCAGGCAGGCGGTGACTGTTGCGCGTCAGTTCCGTAAAGCGTACCCCGGGCTTGACCATCTCGATGTTGGTGGTGATATGTTCGTGAGCGATACGATACAGGCGTTTCTGCTCGGCGGTAGGCTCGCGATCGCCGCAGATCCAGCTGCGCGACATGTCCACACACATACCGTATACGCCGATGAGGTCGGTATCGAAGGACACCAGGTCTCCGTCGCGAAGGACCCGCGGCCCGCATTCCTGATACCAAGGGTTGGTGCGCGGTCCGGAACTGAGAATGCGAGTTTCAATCCATTCGCCACCACGGCGAATATTGCCGGCGTGCAGAGCCGCCCAGACATCGTTTTCGGTGGCGCCGGCGCGCATGGCCTGGCGCATCTCGCCGATCGCGGCTTCGCACGATGCGACTGCACAGCGTATAGCCCGGATCTCGTCTGGGCCCTTCACCTTCCGAGCGTGCTCGGTGACCGCCTGCCCGTCACAGACTTCCACTCCCAGCGCCTCGAGGGCACGCAAGCCGGCGACTTCAATGCGGTCCACGGCGAGCTGGCGGTTGTTGCCGGCATGCTTTCGGAGCAATTCGTCCACTTGCGCGCAGAAATGTCTGGCGTGTTCACTGGTACGGTCGCCGGTTTCAAAGTAGAAGAACGAGGCGCCACTGCGCAGTTCTTGGATCAGTGGGAGGTGCGCGGTAAGGTGATCGCACCCATGGAAATCCCACAGCACCATATAACCGCTCGCTGCGACGAAGCAGGCGCGGGCAGGATTGTGAGTGGTCCACACCTGCATATTGGAGGAGTCCGTGGCGTAGCGAATGTTCAGTGGATCGAACAGCAGGATGCCACCTAGGCCGCGGTCCACCAGTTGATCGCAAATGCGTTGCAGGCGAAACGCACGCATGGTGGGTAGGTGAGGCGGCTGCAAGCCCAGCTGCTGCCACTCCGCGAACGCCAGCGGAGTTGGTCCGATTTCTACGCGGTCGTTGTCGTCGGCCGAGCCATCAGGTTTAAACGTAGCGGTGCGCGCCCGGGTGGGATCGATACGACGAGACTGAGGAGGGATCGAGCACGGCGAGTTTATTTTGACTGGCTTTTCGTTCATCGTGGATGGTCCTTCCTCCTGGTTTGCGATGCAGCAGGTCGACATAGCTGTTGTGCACGAGATGATCGAGCGTGCCTTTCCTCTCTGCTGCCCAGATAAACAATAGTGATTAAGAAAGATGGAGAAGACGTGACTGTGGGCATCGGATCGGGGCTGTTCTTTTAAACCACAAACAGTTGGGTTTCTTTTGGCATGGAGGGACCCGGTCACGTTGTCAGGTCATGGCTGCACGTGCGGTGTTTCCCAGATAGAGACTTGATAGTACGAGTCGGGTTCTTTTCCCGTACTACTAGTAGACATGACCGGTGGCCCCCTCATGGCAGATATATATATATATATATATATAGCTCTATAGCTCTATATAGGTCTACCGTTCCGAGCCGAGCCGATGGAAGACTCAACCCCCAATTAATGAGCATTCAGTACCCTAGCCAGTAGAATAAGGTGTGGTTAACAACTTTGGTTTATGCCACATATGCCACACCACTGGAACCGATGGAGCGACTTGCGGGGAGCCGAGGTCCACTTTTCAGTACTACACAGTAGTGGTTCCGGTGTCCAATGAATCATGATTCGACGTTTAATAAGCAGTTTTTCGGGATTGTCGGGT